TCTTATCCAAGTGTCATCAGTTTGACATTTAGTTGATGATAGAGTGTGACTGATTTGATCTAGAATTATAGATAGGAGCGTTTATCCAATAGCTTGAGTGGAAGGATTCTTATTGGAACTTTTACGAAAAAGTGGCTTTACAAAACACTGCCTAAGACAGTATCTTAGTTAAGGCTAATTAAAAACTCTAAGGGCTGATACATATGCTTTTAAAAGAAACGAAAACGAGCTTTTCATTAAGCTTGGCTGTCGTATCATCAACATGAAAGCAATGGGAAAATTTTTTTATCTGCCTAGATACACAGACATTTATATAATCGAATTGCATTCAGTTCTTTTCTGTCAGAGGTTAGCTCATAGATTTTGTTTGTTGTTAGATCGTGGTTAAAGGTAACTTGTCGATTAATGTAAGCTTTATTTTTTCAGAGGTGTATTTTACGGGCATTAAACAAGGAAAGTTTAGGTCATAAACCTCCAAAGTTCATGCATGTTGCACCCCTAGGCTGTCTGAGGGAATTTGGTAATATTTCCAACAGTTTGTTGTGTTTTCTTTTTATTAGTGGTAGTTACTCGTGTATACAAAATTTACGCACACGTCTATACATGTAGAAACCTCAATCCTGGGGAAAGCCCTCGCGGGAAGCATGAAAGTTAAGTTTTTTCTGTAGGGTACCTCAGTCATATCAAAGTAACAACTCTGCAGTTATGTGAGAATCTCCTTCTCCAGCTTATTCTGGAGTATAGCTGGTGACCAATAATTTCATATTTTCCTTGTATTCAAGTTGATTGCAAGTTTAAAGCACAACTCGGCAGTGAAATATTCAGTATCCTCGTCAATAAGACGTATGGATAAGCTCAGCCAATTTTTATACATAGAGGTGTCGCAAAAGAGGGGTCTCATTGTATTCGATTGCAAGTTTAGAGCACTACTCGGCAATGATCGAAATATTTAGTATCCTTGTCAATGAGACGCATGGATAAGCTTAACCAATTTTTATGTACTTACTCCTTGTGGTTTTCCTGGCATGGGTTTGATAGAAATCCAAATTTTTGACAAATTTTTTTTTTACAGTAGGTGTGATCAATCAGTTGACAAGCTGTAGAGAATTTTATTCAAGAAACAGTTGAAAGCTTCCATTTTGCTGTTTAATAAAGTTTACTTTTTACTGCTATATCCTCTCCTTTATTTTAGGCATTCAAATCCTCGTGTGCACCCGGGTTGGTTGTGCCACGTCGAGCGTTGGTCATTTGTAAAAGTATGCTAGTTTCCAGACTTCCTCTTATCTCTGTAATCATCGTTCAGAGCGCGAGCAGATTAAGAGCCACGCGTGCGGAATTCACGAACGCGAACGGGCAAAAATATGGAGTCGCTCACGGATTGACGTGCGCAGCTATGCTTGGTGCTCACCAATGGCCTGTATTCAAACAGTTGTCCTCAAAAATGATGATTTACTTGTTAGCTTCTCATCGTTTTCTTAGCACGCAGAACAGTCATCGTTTTTCTTTAGCGATTTTCAAGTTCGCCTCTTGTCCCTTGCGCTAGACTTAATTGTACTCCAGTCGCGTGTAAAAGGTTAAAAGGAAAATAATTATATCAAGCCCGCGCATCAGGGCAAGAAACTTCAGGCAACTTTTCAAGACACGGTTCCCGGAAGAAAAACCAATCCAAACACCGGCGGTAAACTTAAGGAGACCAATCCCCGGCATTACTGAAATAGTTAAATCTGAGAGACTGTTTGATGAAAGGTTGATTATCTGTGTGCTATGGCCGCAAGTTAGGGATTGGTCATTTTTTCGCCGCCGGGTGTGGATGGTGGGGAGGGGGGGGGAGGTTGGCGTCGAAGGATTTTGTTTGTGTCCCAGTAAAATTTATCTGATCCTTCTCTGTAGTATTCGTGGTATTCTCCCCCTCTTCATTAGCAGTTAATTGGCATTCAAATTTCTTTGCTTCCCCTTTCATGCTATGTTTGTGATGACTGATTCCCCCCCTCCGTTGCTCCTGAACTCAGGGGCTCCCCCCAAAAATTCTTCTCGCCGCCCCTTGATTAATAAACGCAATGTCAAAATATCTTTGACCACACTCATCATACACGCAACACAAATTGAGTCTTCCACGTAATATGTTTTTTCTCGCATATGCTCCAGCCATACTTTTCAGTGGCTAGCTCGTTAATTGTGCTCCTTTCCTAGACGATAGACTCCTAACCTTTAAAATATGATAAAAACAAATAA